GCACATCAGCTGAGTAGTATACATATGTATATGTAGCTCGCCCTTCCCATTTGTTGATATTCAAAACGCGCTTGAAATCCTGAGTAAGTGGGATAGCTTTCGCAACTGAGGCTACGTGCGCCAGTTTGCTAGCAAGTGAGCAAGCGTCGCATCGCTGTTTGTATCCCCGGTCCAGTCTTTCGGCAAATAAATACATTTCACTTTATGCGGACTACCGCAATATTTTTGTCTGCCAGATAATGGCGTAGCGACAAAAAAAAAAAAGTCCTCCACTGTTACTATTCTTCTTCGTCCTTCCTTTTTGCATTGTCCTTACTCTTGTGTGATGAGACTTCTGCGGAATTTTGATTTGTTTCTTTTCATACAACTTTAATTCCGTTACTACTTTAGTGCTGATAAATTTGGCTATTTTTTTGCTCAAAGTTATGAGATTTTTCCCCAAAGTGCTGAACACTTTAGAGCCAAAAAAAAATTCACCTCGGCTGTTGTGAAAAATTAATTTATTTTATTTAGCTTTCTGTTTTGTGAGCCAAAAAGTTGTATGTAAGGTTTTATAGATCAGCATAAGAGGACCAAAGAAGGCTAAAGTTTATACCTAGTATTAGGGCGACCAGACCTACAGTCATGTGAAAAATAATAGTGGCACGACATTTTTCAGTTTTGGCTTTGGTTTTTCTTTGCCAGACCTACAGTCATGTGAAAAATAATAGTGACACGGCATTTGACCAGTTTTGGCTATTTTTCTTTTGCTTGTTTAATGTTTTCTATTTTTTTTATAAAAATACAACTCATTATCAAACAAAGACCATATATGTAAGTCCAAATTTCAAACTTTATAGAAATATTATAAAAACTTAACAAAATTTTACAAGAACAAACTTAACAACAAAATTTTTATTAAGATTTTTTAAACAAAAACTTAGTATGCAGTTTTATGGTCCATTAAATTCTAGCTTAAGAAAGTGCAAGTTTCATGTGGCTAAGAATTCGCTTTGATTTTTTGGTCGGTTTTTGCAGATAGTGTTATTATATTCTTCCACACGAAAAAAAAAAAATTTCGAACATAGATACTGAAAGAAAATGCCTGACACCGTCAGCGAAAAAAAACTTATCAAAAATCAATGATATTAAACGAGGGAAAATTTGGATATTTTATTATGCCTTTTTTTAATATAAAATAATACATATTTTAAATCGTGCGATTTTTGATTTGAAATTTATATGTATGTATACAAATATTTTTGAATATTTGTTTATTTAAAATTTTTACTATGCGTAAATTAAAATATTGTTTTTTTTTTAATAAAAAAAATCGTCGTAGGCGAAAATCGGAAATAAAAATTCGCGCGAGTTTTTGTTCAAAATTTTCACTATTAATCTTTTTTTTTAATAAGGGCGAAATTCTACATCCCAATTTTCCTATTTTACAACGCTTTTTTAAACTTAGCTTCCAGCTCATGAAAAATTGCAAGAAATATTGTTCATTATTTCCCTCAATTGAAAAAATATGTATCTAAATATAGAAGCATTTTTTATCTAGAGAGCTGTAAATGGACGAAAATAATTTCGTAGTAATTTTTTTTTTTTCATTTCTTCAGCGTGTTTTTATACGATTTTTTTTTGTTTGTCTTAAGAGTTGGCTTTTTGTTACGTTATGCGACTATCCTATGAATGAAGTTTGTCTGTTTGAACGTCAGACTGGTAGCGCTCTTGGCAGTCTCGCCAACTATTTTTTACCCTCTATTCATTGCAGCCTTCTGTTTAGGGTCAGCCTATCAATGGCTTACCAGCTACGAAGGACGTTTTTGGATGAAGTACTTTTTGGGGCAACTGCCTTAATTGCCGCCTGACTCTCTTTCTTTTAACCATTTTAAGTCGTTTGTAAAAATGTTGAGGGGTCTATGTTTTGGTTTAATTCCATTGCATCATCCTTCCTCCTCATGGTTTTATGCGAAACCCTCGTTCCCCATGAAGCAGTAGAAGGTAGTTCCGAAAAAATTTACTAAAATTGCTCTTCGTCGAAGGTGTTCTTAAATATGATTCTATGCTATATCCTGAAACTAGAGAACCTTTTGAACAGAAGAAATTTAAAGTGTAACTTTTGTGCAAAATATTATTGATAAAAGAGTCGTCTGAGCTGAATTAACTATTACCTCTTTTGTCCTTTAACATATCCCCCAGACCTGTAATACCATGTTCTGACCGACAACGAAAACACTTGGAAAACGAGTTTTGCGATTGTAGGCTGAAATTCGTTGAAATTTCTTACATTCTATGTTTACAGTTTTGCTACAAAAAAAAAAACTTTTCTTTCATTTTCTTTTCATCATCAACCTTTTACTTTTATTCTTGTTTTAATTTGGCCAGCCAATCTATACTAATTATATAAAGAGAAGTCCCTTTCTTTTTGCAACAGGTAATCTTGCGAATGGCTGGTCTGATCCAGGGACCGATCTATTCGAAAAAATTGTACATATGATCCGTTTTTCTAGAAATTCGGTACACATATCATAGATATTCATAGAATAGAATTGAACGATTGTTTTACAGTTGGAAAGGTGTTTTAAGATGCCGCAAAGCAATCGGGCGTTGGCTATTTACGTATATTCATTATCTATACCAATTATATATATATAAAGAGAAGTCCCATATTTTTATAAGAGGTGATCTTGCAAACGGCTGTACCAATTTCTTTGCAATTGAGGACACCTTTTGGTTACAGGCTGATAATAATTTCGTTATATCAAGGCAGCGTGGCATCTCCCATACCAATCGAATTTTTCATACCGCATATCTCTGGAAGTATTTGGGGTAGAGTCCTGGAACTTGATATGGTATCAATCCCATACTCATGGAGAAAAGTGGGTTTGGCGCCTTCCAAACATACTGAAACATTTACCTATCCGTAAATACATATATAATTCTTGGGTTTGTGAGTGATCTCCTCCTAAACGAGGTTCACAACTTAAAACACCAGGTGGCGCTGGAGTCGAGTTAGTAGTAAAAATTGTATTTACGCTTCGATCTGGCTAATATTCAATACTTGTATTGTATAGTAACGTGAAGGAAAATACTGCGGCGAAAAAAACTGGCACAAAAAAGTCTAAGGGCGTGAAATCGCGGCTTCGAGGAGGCCAATTGACTTCACCGAGACAGCTGATAACACAATTACCGAACTTTATTGCTCAAAATAAAAAATCGAATAGATGGCAACCCTAACAAAAAATATTTTCAAGCTAAAGTTTTATTAAAACTCTTTCTTTTGCTACTCATATTTAAATATTTCATTAAAATAGTGTAAAAGCTAAATAAATTAAGCTTTTCAAATAGGTGGCAACCTTCTGCGAAGCATTTTCAAACTGAAATCTTTCAAAGCTCTTTCGTCTGATACTTTGATTCATACTTCAGTTACCCAAAGAATTAAATTGAATTTAATTCTTTTTATCACCTGGCAACTCTCCTTAACAGTTCAGAAGTAAATACTTCCCAAACACATGAACGATTAAATCACCTCTTTTAGTAATTTGCTTAACTTAACTTATATATTAACCTAATTTATTAAACTTAATAATTCATTTAAATTTAAAATTTTCAGCAGTTGGCAACACTCTTCAAATCATCAAACAAAATTTTGAATCTTAAACTGAAGATTTCTTAGCACTCTTTCGTTTAACACCCATATTTTAATACTGCATATAACTAAATTCGACTTTCAAAGCAGGTGGCAACCCCTTTCAAAACATTTTCAAATTACTACCATTAGTCTGGACCCCTGTGGGGAACATTTTGTAAATTACCTATGTAATTTCCCTGTTTAAAATTTAATTTGTTTTTTAAACAGGAGCAACACTCTCACAGTTAAGAAGCAAAGCTTTTAATAACCATTTCGACTGATACCTGTGGCAACTCTATTCAAAAAGTAAAACCTCATTGCACATCTGCATCCAAGCCTTTTAATTTGACACCTCATTTTTGAAAATCAAACGAATGAATCAGGTCTGATGACCTGGACCTGGTCCTTTCGCGTATTATATATATAGATATAATTAAATTCTACCTTCTAAACAGGTGGCAGCCCTTTTGAAAAGTAGTTTCGCTCTAAGATATTCTTAAATATTCTTCGTCTTACATTGAACACATATTTTAACTAACTGATGAATTAAGTTGAATTATATTAATTAAACATGTGGCAACTCCGCTAAATTTAGTTCAGAAATAAAGATTTTTCAACCCCCCTTCGATTGATACTCATATTTCAATAAGTCATTTAACTTGTTTAATAATTCTAATTTAATTTTAAACAGGTGGTAACCCTCTTCCAACACTCCAAAAATATTTTGTGTCTTCAAACTAAAGTCTTCTTAATATTCGTTCGTTTCACATCATTATTTTAACATTTCATATAACTTCTGGATAAGTTATTTAAATTCGACATTGCAAGAAGGTGGCGACCCTCTTCAAAATATATTCAAACGGCCACTTTCTGAAGCCCCTTTCGTTATGCGCCCATATGTTGAAACATATTTCTCCTAATTAATTTTCTTAATTCAAATTGAAATTATTTTTTTGAACAGGTGGCAACCCTCCTTAGGTTAAGTTAAGAAACAAATATTTTCAAAACCCTTTCCGCTGATACCCATTTGGAAATAATGGATTTTTTTAAGATAATTTGAATTAAAATTTTTAAAAGGTGGCAACTCTATTCAAAAAAGTATAACCTTATTGCATATCTGCTGTCCAAGGCAAATTCGCCTTATATATATATATATATATATATATATATATATATATATATATATAT